GCACCAGAGGAGAGCAAAGCAGTCCCTGCTGGCGTGGGTTCTCCTCTGTGCCTCTTCCTTGGAAATGTGCAAGGGCTGCAGGTGGCTCTTGTACATTCCAAAGGGGGAGATGCAGCAGTCGGGACTGTGCAAGCAAGACTGTTTCAGTCCCTGCTTGCACTGTTTCCCCACTGCCCTCTGCTTCCCCTGTACCCTATGGAGATGGTGCTGGGGGGGAACTGACTTTTAAGTTGATTCCCACCAGCACTGGCTCCTGTTCCCCCCTCTTGTTGCTTCTCTCTGATAGAGGCAGCAAGGGCAGGGGAAGCGACTAGTCACGTTCCTACTCAACTACTCGATAATCATTTGCTTACTGGGTAGTTGACTAGTCAACTAATTGCTTACATCCCTGATATATAGTAGATGCAAATAATGCCTCTTATCCCATGACTTGGCTTTTTTAGTCTCTTCTGCGGGAGCTTGTCAAAACCCTTTGGAAGCCTAAATACATTAATTACCATTACAGATCACTTTATTTTACCTGATATTCAGTGTTGCATTTAAAGAATACTAAGAATTTAGTGAGTCATGATTTTCCTTTGTAGAACTCATGTTAGTTAGATCCTATTATATCATGATCTGCTGTTCTGTGTTTAAATATCAATCAATTGGTTTGCCTGGTGCAAATGTCAGGCTACTGGTCTATAATTCCCCTGATCACTACAGTCCTTTTAAAATACAGGCATTTCATATCTGACCACTTTCAGAACTCGTGGGCGTATACTAGATGGCCTTGGTGTCTTAATGCTTTTAAAATTTTTAGTGTGCTACTTCCTGTTCTGTTATCTAACTCTCTAATAACATTTCATATTACACAAAAAAAAGAGCAACTCTAGGGTAGGAACTCCCTAAATATTTTCACTGTTGAAGACTGCAGCAAAGAAATAATTCATCAGCAATGTCCTTTTCCACCTTAAATGTTTGCCCATAGTGGAAAACTTTGTTTATGGCTTCAAGCAACCCGTTAAACAATTCCCTGAATTGCAACAGCCGTCTGGGTATTACTTGTCATTGCCAATTGAGTCCATAGTTCCATTCCCTGCACAAAGACTTCAGACAAATCCATTCTGCCTTCCTGTTGTTCCTGTCCACTTTTGAACCTCAACTACTATAGTGTTGTCACCGGGTGTATCAGGCATTAGCTGCCCCCGATGGAGATCCTGTTGCCTCCAATGCTTCCCACACTAGGGGTATGTCTAGACTACACGCTTCCATCGACATAAGTTTTGTCAACAGAATCTGTCGACAAAACTTATGTCGACATAGAGCGTCTAGACTACATCCAGTTCTGTTGACAAAGCAAGCCACTTTGTCGACATAACAGTGTGGACGCAAAGGACAGTGTAGCTGCAATAATGCCTTCTATCGACAGAACTCTGTCAATAAAAGGTGTTATTCCTCGTAGAATGAGGTTTACATACGTCGACCAAACTGCCGAGTTTTGTTGACATTATGTCGACATAACTCAAAGGCAGTGTGGACGCAGGTATAGTTTTGTCGACAAAAGTCCACTTTTGTTGACAAAACCCTGTAGTCTAGACACAGCCTAGGGGAACAGCAAGTTTTGGATCTCTGCAGTTGCCTAGAAAGGTTTCCTGGGGGCATCTACTGGTGGGACCAGTGAGACTTCGGACACTATCACCTAGAAGGGCTGAAGCAGACAGCAGCCAATCAGGGCCCAGCAGACCAAATGAAAAGGGATGTTTCTATCCATTCCATTGGCAGTTCCCGGAAGATGCTAGTGGAGGGGAAGAAGATGGAATAAAGGAACACATTTTTCTTCCCCTCTGTCATAATCCAAGAAGCCAGGCAAGACCAGATCAGGGCCTGTCGTTGACCACGCTTTGCATTTAGATCATGGAGAGTCCTAATTATTCAAATTAGGTGAGCTGACTTCTTGAGGATCCACATGACTCAGATGACAGGTAAATAGCATGGTTACATGAGAAGGAAAACAGAAGTCTCTTAAGTCTTACTCCAGTATTTACTACCTCTCACACGCACTGTTGGATTCTGTAGCAGCCTGCAGTGCATGGGACAACGTTCTAAACTAAACTGAACATTTGTAGTGAATTAACACTGTGTTACTCCTTGTGGACTCATTGTGCTGAGTGAGATGCAAAATGCCCCCAATTTACATTGCAACCTGAATCAGGTCACTGTTTAATTCAGGACAAACATTAGTGAATATTTTCTCAAGTATTTTTAAAGACTATACTAATGCCTGCTTCTGATGCATGCACAAAATGGACCTCTGCTGCAGAATACCAGTAGTGGCACATAGCAATGGTTGGTCAGGGATGCTTAGGGACATAGACAAAGGGATGATTAAGAAGTGAAAGTTCAAGCTACTTCCTTCTTTTAAGGAAATATCAGGTGCTCTTATGATAGGTCTGACCCTATCTGAAGTGGAGACAGATACTATTCTCTGAGGGTTTGGTTCTTCAGTGGAACGGAAATAACAGTGACTAGTTCATATCAGGATCCTTGAATGAGACCTCTCTCCTTCATCCCCGTTCCCACCACCGTATTCCTCCCCCACACAAAAGGAGTCTGTGACATACAAGTAGGGGGGGGGGATGGAAGGATAGAACTAGCATAGGGATTCTGGCTTTGACCCATTTCTGTTAATTAGTAGAACTGATCACACCCACTTCTGCCACAATGCCTGTAAGATATTTACCACTGGCAAGGCCAGTAAGGTATATGGGGATAGGAAGTATTATCTATTTATGTAATTGCTAAACTTGTTATATAAATTGACATGGATACAAGTAGTGACTATGTTGACTGTAACCCTTAGCAATTCTACCTATCTTTGGGTGTATCTAGAATTCTTATCATGTAAGCTCTTTAGGAGAGGGAGCTTGTGCTATACAAACCTCTGTTTGTACAGCCTCTAGCATGATGGGACTCACACCTAAATATAAATCTTTAATAATAAAAGTGACTGGAATTTTCCAAAGCTACAATGATCAATTTATAATGTTATCAAACTCCATTGTTAAGAAAAGCTAAATGCACATTTACTCTAATGAAGTGGTCACATCCTACTGCATTAATAATAAATGCTTTAAAATGTAATAAATGCGCTGATATAAAAGCAGCTAATGGATATGGAAAAGCTGATAAGCTTCATTGCATCACCTCTCATATTTCCTGGGTATTGTTCTGCTCTTTACCTTAGTAAAACTTCATTGGTCTTATTCAGATGTGAGGGGGGAGCTGGTCCCAAAATACCAAAAAAGTTATCATATTACACAATGTTGACTTACACAAAATTAAGAATATTGAGCACTAAAATCATCTCTAGCGTAAATCTGCTAATCAGTAGAGTTGCATCAGGATTGAATTTGGCCTTCCCTTTTTATGTTATACTGATCTTCCTTCCAGTATATTTTTTGCTTCCCTCAGTATTCATGAACAGAGTTGTTTAATATGTCACAATTACAGCAACTGTAAAGTTAACATTAAAATAGTAAAGACACAATGTGGTGATGACATTCAGCGGTACAATCCATACTACTGAACAATCCATACTACTGAGGGGCTATGTCACATCTGTCCTGAAATCTGGGATGCCTCACAATGGTTTGCTGCTGGGCTCCTGGACTCCTCACAAACAACAAGACAACATATAGGTCACAGCCTGAATGTCCATATATAGCCACAACTAAGGTCGCCAGGTGTCCGGTTTTGAACCGGATAGTCCGGTATTTGAGCTTTCTGTCCAGGAAACAAATTGAGAAAATTCCGGACATATAAATGTCCAGTATTTTCTAATTAAGTAAGTTTTATTATTATCGTGAGTATCAGTAAGTAATTACGTACTGCCTGGCTGGTACACACGCTCACGGTGCATGAGCGTGTCTATCAGCCAGGCAGTACGCAGCTACACAGTAGAGAGGAGAGGGGTGGAGGCGGGGTCGGGGCAGGATGGAATGCCTGGGGTTGGATTTGCCCGTGTGCCCCACCAGGACCGTGCGCAGGAAGGACCTTATTATCGTGAGTATCAGTAAGTAATTACGTACTGCCTGGCTGGTACACACGCTCACGGTGCATGAGCGTGTCTATCAGCCAGGCAGTACGCAGCTACACAGTAGAGAGGAGAGGGGTGGAGGCGGGGTCGGGGCAGGATGGAATGCCTGGGGTTGGATTTGCCCGTGTGCCCCACCAGGACCGTGCGCAGGAAGGACCGCACCATGGGATCTGCGTGAGCCTGGGTCATTTCGAAAGCTCTG